GATTATAATTGCTTTAATCTTAATACAATTTTTTATCTTTTTCTTTCTTATAGAACTAGAAAAAATAAAACTAAGATTACATTGAACTAAGATTAAAGTTAATCCGTGTTGGTGAAAATAAGCATTATTTGAATTAAATAACAATATCGTTCTACCAATGTAGAGTAATAAAGTTAATTTAATTATTTTTAATTTCTTTTTAAAAGAGATCTGTTCGCTTTGTTTTTTCTTTTTACCTTCGGCATCTTCGCTTTCTATCGTTTTTCTACGCTCAAATATATATTTATCACCTTTTAAGAGCAAAAATTTTTCACGATTTCACAAGTAACCTAAACAAATCTATACATGAAGAGTGAATTAAATCGAGATTAAAATAATTAATCTACATTGGAATAGGAATGATAAATTGTTCAAATCTAACTCTGTGCGCCATGATGGTTTCAACGGACAAAAATATAATTGAAATAAGGGAATAAATCTTGATTGGTACCTTCGCAATGTCTTTTACCTCGTATCTTGCAAAATTGGATTACAAAGCTTTTATATAATCGTTACGCCCACGATCGTTCATGTTACGAGTTCCGAGGATGGTGAAAAAAGACGATCTCGATTCCGAAAGGCCGAAACGTTCTCGCTTCGACTTGCTTCGACTTGTTTCGACTGGTCTGAAGTTAGTAATAACGCGTGCCGTCAAGATGGCGGCACCAAGCGCCGCGTATACGCGTCTCTGATACGCGTGCGTTTATTTGCGTCTCGTTCAATGTATGCTGAGCGAAGCGGCTCGTAAATATCGTAAATACGTTTGAGCGCGTTTCGGCCGTATTTTCCGCAACGTCAACAAATGAAACGCGGTGAGCGACGAGAGATCAACAAGTGCTTGCCGAGAGCGCGATCGAACGATGAACTATCTCAACAGTTTAGCAGGCGGCACGATCACCGCCGACTCGGGCTTGCAGCTAAACAATGTCGATGTTCTCTACACGAAGGTGCAAAGGATTTACGTCAAGCCGCAGCATAAGGAGGAGCGCCAGCGGGATCTCAGAATCAATGTCGAGATTCACGCTGGCATCAGTCCGGTTTGCCGCAAGGTAACTTTCCGAGTCTTGCCAAAAAACGTTAAGTAAGACGGCTTCATTGGGATGGATGTTAACTACGTTTTTCTCTTTTAATTTTCTATACTCGATGAACGTCTGTAGTCCGATAGTTGGTTCTTATATTTAAGATTGTCTTAAGTAACGTCTTTAGAGACTACTCTCTTGACAATATTCATAGTTCATTATCTTAAGATATCTTAAGTAATGTCTTAAAATAGTAATACACAGCTTTCTGATTGGTTCATAACATTTTAAGACGGTACTTTAGATAATCTTAAATTGAAAAATTAACCATGAATTGGCCAAAGATATTGTTACCATATTAGCATCTTAAGACATTACTAATGATAGTCTTGAAATAAGAATAACCATCTATAAGTACCAATAGTTTTTTTCGTTATCCTATTCTTTGCTGAGTCTTGCTACATAAAATATATTTTTTTATGTATCTTTTGTTTCAGAGTCTGTGTGTGATGCTGTCTGATGATGATGATTCATGTTTTCTCTATTCTCTATTCATCACCGAAGATGACTTTAAAGTATTGAAAGCGCAGCAGGGACTACTAGTTGACTTTGATAACTTTGCCACTCAGTTGATATGCTTATTGGAGCAATGTCAGGTTTCGGGGACGAGTCAACTATCAAAACCTCCGCCAAAATTCCTCCTGTTGTTGGCAGAAGAGTCTGGAGATTGGAACTTTAAGCTTGTAGAAACGAATAATTTTAAACATCTCTGTCATCTAAGTTTAAATGTATCACCCGCAACTGATTCGGATTTGAAAACACACATGGCAATGAAGATTAAGCATCTGAAAGAGAATATTTTGAAACAAAATAGGGATACAATTAGTTTAGAAACTACATTAAACGATTTAACAAGCAAGCTGGAAATAAAAACAAAAGAGTTGGAGCAGCTGGAACAAAAATATTTAACTGAAAAGAACCAGATACAATTTAATTCATCGCAGCAAATTAATATAGAAAAAGATAGGTACGTATACAAGTCATATTATAAATAATTAACGATAAATATAATATTGATTTTATAATAGCAAAGTACTTGAATCTTTAGAATAATAAATGGATAATATTGGAACGAGTTATATTTTGTTTTTCTGTTTGAAATTATTCAAATTATTTGATAAGTATCAATAATTATGCTAATATCTTTTAGATTAGCACAAGCACGACTAGAATGGCAACGACAAAGTGAAAAAGAAAAAATGGAAATTGAACAGAGGCATGCTGAAACTGTGAAACAGTTACACACAGAACTTGCTGAATTACGAACACAAAACATGACATACAAGGATAAACAATCTTTTTTAGAAGCTACAAATACAGAGCAAGTAAAACAATTGCAGACTCTCGAGAAGCAACTTAATATTGTCGAACGAGATTCGGCGTTACTCAAAAAGCAAAATTCAAAATTAGATGTAGATTACCATGACAGAGATCAAGCTGTCAATAGTTTGCGTACAAAGGTAGCTGTGCTTGAACAAGAATTAAAAGACAAAACGGTGATCATTAACAAGCACATGGAAATGTTAAAAACAGGTAAAGAACAAAAGCAACATTTAGAGGATCTCTTAACTGAGAGAGACAGTCAATTGCAACGCAAGCAAAATTCCTTAAAAAGTTTAAGTGACGAGTTAGTAAAAGCCAATGAAATCTTAACTAAATTACAAAATGAACTTGCATCAACCAAGTCCAAGTTAAAATTAAGAACGAGCATAGCGCTCGAACAGGAAAGATTGTTAGACAGCAAACAGAAAGAAGTTGGCCAATTGGAAATCAAAATGGAAGGTCTTTTCAAAGACGCGAGAGATGCAAAAAGTGAAGTAGACAATTTAAAAGAACAGATAAAAACATTGCAACATCAATTGGAGGAAAAAGAAAAGATTATAAAAAATAATGACAATGGTAAGAATGTCTCATTTTATGTTGTCTTTGTTAATAAAAATGTTTATAAATAACTCACAAAATTAATACTTTGATGTTCTTATCTTTTGCAGTAATTAGTTGGCTGAATCGGAGATTAGCAGACAATCAATCGCCATTACAAAGTGCTACTACTCCAGCTCCAGTTACGATACCATCCTCCATTCCATTGACGTTACCCAGAACAAATAAATTATTTCCTAATCGATATGAAACACGCACGCCTGCACCCAGTACAATACAGCCTAGTACATTATCGGGGTTACCGATGAAAAATCCGATCGTGCAAAATCCGAACATTAATCAGACCACTCGCACGACAGCTCGGTCGATGGGTGTCGGTGTAACAGAAAATTCGGTAGGATTAACCACCTTCAATAAGAGCCCTCTAATCTCGAGTACTAGCACACCTATGGAGCGTTTCAATTCGTTGAATAAAATATCGGGAAATCCAGCGGCCTCAACCTCTGCGCCGGCTATAATCGAGAATAACAATGGTCCAGCGGTGATCTCGAATGGTACAAAAGTGAAAACTGCAAACGTTGGTTTGCAGGGCGGATTAAGACGAGCAGGTTTGTCTGATAAACCCATTTTACCTTCGGCATATTTTCCTAAGACTTTGCATTAACTGCTCGGGAAGGATTATCAATATAGAAATTGGTGAGTTAAACTCGTATTAGAGTACTTTAAGAATCAAAACGTAGGAACGACAAAACTGCAATATTATCATTAGCACGACAATATTTCAAGTTTGCCGTCTCGGAGATAGTACAAATATTTGTAAGAATGATTAGTATTATTTACATGACATTTTTTCTTATCAGATAAAAATTTTAGACTATTTTTAATCCTATACATTGGCACCACTTTATACAAATTACAAAAATGATACTAGGCTATCGTCAATGTATATCAATGTAGGATTAATAATAATATATAATATTATTTGTATATACTATACACTAACATACTCCGATCTCGTTCGCTATGGTAAAAATACGTATATGTTGGTAGAAAAATTTCATTATTCCTTACAATATTCTTTTGTATCAATTCTAAGTAGCTCCAATATTGTTAGTATAATTTTATAATAGAGTATTGATTTTAATATATAGATTCTATTTGGCAAAGTAAACTCCAGCAGAAATTGATATATTTATAACATAATATATAATAATATATGCATATGTATAAATCAAGAATTGCAATCTATATAATATTGACTACAATTAAAGAACTTTTTTTCGATAATTTTAAATTTAAATGTTTTTTAACGTGATTGCAAGTTTGAGACACTTATATTGTTGCCAAATATTATTCAACATAAAGAAACGTATTTTTTATAACCAGCAAATTTAGAATGGAGTAGAGAGAGTTTTAAGATTAATGGCATAATTTTTCATTTTATCGCAATCACAATTTAACTAGCATACAAATGATTATTTTCATTATTATTAGATTACATTTAAAACATATTAATCACATAGGTACCTGGAAAGTAATTTTATCTTTGTGGATTTTATGTGTAATATCTGTATAAAGATATTTTTATATATAAATGAAAATATTAATGAAAAGAAAAAACATGTATAGAAAAATCTCTAATCTTACAGTTTATCTTACAGTTTGACCATACAAATGAAATAAGGCTATTTATCGAAAACGTGCCTCACAGAATAGATTAGAAAATTCTATTACATTTATATACACGATTTATATTGTATACCTATCTTATAAATGTCATGTGGGGAAGAAAATTGTTAGTTGCAATGTTGTATAAACCTAAAATTTTTGTATATTCAAAATATGTTTTCAAAAAATGTGCCACAAGGTACAAACGTACATCAAGTAAATTCAATCGTATAAAGCATGTCAATTTATTAAATTACATAAATAGAGCAACAGTATTAAATATAATAAATAGCGATAAGAGAGTCATGAATGATTCATATATTTTACTACTTTTGTACATAGAATTATAATAAATGTCTCTATTATATAATATGTATTTTGTACGGAAAGCTGCCTCGGAAGGTACAAATATTTTTATCAGAATATACATAAGTTTATAATAACGATATATAATAATTCGAGAAGAGTTGACAAACAATATGTTACATTTCCATATAATTTTATGCGCATGATACAATTATTTACATGAAAATATCGAGCGTCAAAATTCATGGTTACAAGGATATGCGTGGCAAAATTAATTTTCTTTCGAAATGCAAACAATACTGCATAATAAAATATTAAACAAATCAACGATATACTATTAATTCATATCAATGGGAACCAACGACATAGTGCTATTAGGTAGATCTGTACATCCCATATCCAAAAGAGGCATATCCATCCGTTTACGTCTGCGTTCGCATTTCGGGCATGGTTTACTGGCGTTTAAACAGTTTGCATGAAATACGGCATTACACGCTCCACACTAAATAAATAAATTGTAAAATTAAATATTAAAAAAGGAAAAAATAGAACAAAAAGTGATATGTTTCTTACCCGGAATGTAGACTCCATATCAAAAGGATAAATGACTTTTGTATCGTTACACACTTCACATATAAAGCCCTTCTGACTACAAAGCCAACAATTTATTACATGATTCCTCGCGAATTCAACAATCCTTTGAAGTTGCTGTGCGAGAATTCCATTGGGTATATCCAGAAGATCGGAAACGGAATATTGATGAACATGTTCGTACAAGTAATCTCTCGGTGTGACCTTTTTCTGTAAGGATTCAATAATGGGTTCGCGACATGTGAATAAATATGCTCTCAACAGATTCAATTGAATCCGTAACGACTGCAATTGTGCCATAGTATCTACTGCCATGTAAATTTTCGGATTTAAGATCTTTATATCCAACAGGGCCGGCTTGCCTTCCAGATACGAAGCGGCTTTTCGGCTAATGGAATATTGTTTCAAGTCCCAATTATGAATCATACGTGACGGTATGAGATATTGCCCCTCTGCCATGCACTTTGAACAGTAGTAATCGCCCGAGTACGCACACACGTGCGCTTTAGAAAAGGTCATGCCAATTGCATAACCGCAATCAAAACAACCGTAATTTTGCACATCTAAACCTTTTTCTCTTGGAATATTACCTAACTGCTCGTCAAAATTCACCACAGCCTGGAATATAAAAATTAATCAAAGTGTTAGATTATAATCAAAGCATTTTAAAATTGCGTTTCTAATTATTTTGTATCAGGAACGTACCTTTGGTTCTGGCTGAGCCTTGGTGGATCCTTCTTCAACAGTTTCTTTCTTTGGATACTTGTTTAGAAATTCTTGCAGGTCTGTTACCGTGCTATTTCCAGTTTGATAACTTTGAATGAGTGCATCGTACGTAGGACCCTCGCCGGGTGTACGAGGTGCATCCGCGCCTGATCCATGGGATATCACAGGTGAAGTTAAAGAAGACTGACAATCCTCAATCGACGTTGACCATCCTAACTTTCTTATTAACGAATTTCCCACAGTAGCCGCATTAGTATCATTAACGATTTCGTCTTTCAAAGTATCTTGTAGCGGATCCTCCGTATCAACAATATTATCTGCATTTTCTGCATAGCCATTTGACATCAGTTGTATCTCCTTGACCTCTTGCTTGACGTCTTCTTCCGAGTTTTTTACAGTTCTATCTGCAGAATCACTGTATAACTGTTGAGCATTGTTTTCTTGTAGGCTGTTTGTTACAGCATCCGCAGGATTATTGTGCAATTGTTGAATAACGCTATTAGATTTCCCTTCGGTCAGAATAATTTTCAATGCCTCATCTTCTGTAATAGATGCTACGTTATTAAACACAGATTGGGAGGAAGTGAAAGATCCTATTCCGATGGAACTACCGATGGAACTTGCAGTTTCTACTTCATCAAAATTATCGGTCGTTTCGCTGTTTATCGTTTTCGCTATATCTACAGCGCTAAATACAGGACAAGATTTCATTGGTGGGGACCAGATGCCAGCTATAAGTAGAGGAGTGGAGGACCAAAAGTTCAAGAGGCTACTGTTGCAAGCCAATTCGAATCGTACATAATCCAAGTTTTCTATCAATCTCTGCGCAACTTCGACAAGGTCTACATCCCTGATGTAAGCTGAACGATTGTAATACGGTTTTAAGGCTGAATTATCTCTCCTTATAGCGCAAAAGTAGCTAGCTAACATCCCCTCGTTCAGCGCTATACGTATCCATGCTCGACAGTATCCGACTTCCGTGGTGATTTGGCTCAATGCTTGTATCTGATCTATAATCTGACGATGTGAGAAGACTAAGAGTGGACCCCAGAAGCTTGGCTGTGGCATAGCGTCGAAGTCGGGACCGCTGAGAACTTCCGTCACTCGATTCAGCAGGCTGTCCTTCAAGCCGTGCAGAAATATAGCCTCCAGGACGGAGCAGAGGGTCATGGTCTCGTCGCAGTTGCCGACTACGCCGTCGTCGGTGACCCCCGGGGCGCTCTGCATCTCCATAACACTCGTATTGAGCTGTTTCTGTAGAGAGTCTCGGACCAACAGATTCCTCTTGTTGCCCATTATGGACATCTTCAGCAGCGAGTTCATTTTGCCTGCTAATAATACGGTACGTCACAGCGAGAACACGTCTTCTGCCGCGATTTCGTCGCTGGAGCATCTTCGCGGTCGCGTCGTGAAATCGAAGAGGATCAACCGGAGGATCGAGCCGTCGCCTCCGGAGATGTCCTCGTGGCCGTGACTAATTACGCGACTAATTACTGCTCGCCTGCCAGGGTATATGTCTCGCAGATTACGTCACGGGCGATATTGAGAAATGTCGGGGAACGAGGAAGTGCCGAGCGATGAAGTCATCGTATCGCGGCGATAGCCCCGATACTGGCTAGCCATTCACATAAGCCGAGGGTTGTCACTCGAGCCACCGAAGTGTCCATTCGAAGTAGGTTAGGTGTCCGAGAAACAAAACATTCGCAGCGTATAGATCGTAAGATCGCTTTTCTATCGACTCCCCTCTATCGGTCACGAGTGTCACGACGGATTAGGGAACGCTGTGGCAATCCCGTGAATCTCTCCCGCGTTCTCGACGCGCGGCAGATTTCCGCAACGTCATCGAATTCTGACGATTTCCGATCACTGTCAATCACTGTCGCGATTGCGCCACGCTACTCCGAAACGTCGTCCATCGCTGTCGGCCAGCTGTTTTCTATCGACTACGCGTCAGACTGGTCGGACTCAGTCGTGAGTCGCGTCTGATCACGCCGTCTCGTTTCTAGGACAGCTATTCCTTGAGAATAGTACGCGACCCGACGACAGGTCGCGCTGCCACCATCGTCGTCGTCATCGTCGTCGTCGTCACCGTCACTAGGTGAATCGTGAATTCGCCGCTGCCGAGTGCACCAGCCAGGTGCGCCCTCATATCTCACCGCACTTGTCCGATGCTATTTCCAGCAATACGCCGTCCTTTCCCGCTCCGACGTCCAGGCTGCCTGCCCTTTCGACGGGAATAATGGAAGTCTATCGAGCGACCGTGGCGACGACAACTAATTATAGATCTAACGAGTTCGACTCTCAAGCCTTCGGCTTTGTGTGTTATTTCACATTCGTTTGTTTTACGTACGAATTTAAGAGTTTAAGTTTTTTTCCCTGTGAGAGAAAAGATGAGATTCGATTCGATCTGTCGCATTAATTAGTTCGACTTTAGAGTATTAAACCTCCGGAGCTGAGGACGGTTTATTTACATTCACATAATTATCATTTTTGTCAACAATATTAATTTAATTTCAATCCTTTATGTTATATTTTACTTTCTACATGTTAAATTATTCTTATTAAAATATATATAGTATTCATTTTTTATTTTATTTTGGTTCTTTGAAATTAAGCTACGTAAAAAGGAGAGAAAAAGCCAAGCAGGGTGATTGTACTAAAATTAATAACGAACAATTTATGTGGTGCTCATTTCTACCAATGTAGTTTAATTTTAAACTTGGTCACGACTAACTGACTCTTCATCATTTTCGAGCTTTAATGCCAGTCTCTATCAATGTAGATTAACTTTAACCTCGGTCCAACTTTATTCTTCATCTTTTCGAATTCTTTACAATTAAAAATAGATGAACCAAAATTGAATTAGTCTACATAGGAACGGCCATTAGAAATTGAATGTAATAGCCAGGCCAAAACTAATGTCCATTTCTACCTATACTTAAATTAACTTTAATTTAACTTTTTACTTATTTCTAGTTCTAACATAAAAGAAATAACATACAAAATTTGTTTAATTACAAATAATTCTTACCATACAAACGATCATTTCGACCAATTGAAAGGTTCTCTTTGGTGCGGTTAAAATAAATAATTCCTTGAAATTAATTACTTCTTTAATTAACATCAATAAGTAAGCTTTACAGATCCAGCATCAATTATGCTACAGATTTTAGCGTCAGCTTCGAAGATATAATTATAATTTTCACTTCGAGAGTTTTCGAATGCATTTGGATATTTATCGAAATTCATTATCGAAATGATAATAGAATTTACTCTATTGTAGTTGAAAGAACTCGCGCAGCTGCTTTCTCCCAATCTATGTAGCAAAAATTGTGACAGCTTTAATAGTAAAGTCATTAAAAGCGACAGTAATCGCCGGCTGCTTCCAATCCAGTGAACTTGAATCGCACACGCTCGAGTGGCCGATGCAAGTAACACAATCTAACGTGCCACGACAGCGATTTGTTCAATCGTTGTCTACGTATATATAAATGATTAACGATTCATTTGAATGAAGACTATATATGGAGAAAAATGTCTGATTGAATCATGTGGAATTTTGGTTAAAAACAGATTAAACGAATCAGATTAACTTTCTAGTTAAATCTACTAAATTACTAACGAAGATTATATGAGAAAAATGGATCAATTGGAATTCTGATTCGTTCATTTTCAACAAGAATTCCAATTAAACAGACAGTTTTTGTTTAATCAGAATTTTTCTCGCTCGTCCATTTTCATTCAGACATTTTTCTCGACGCAGCGTATGCGGTTATGAAAACTCGCGCGAGTTCGCGCAAATCGATCGGATTCCGTAAGGAGATTTTCGATCCGAAAGTAAACGACCGGTGTAACATCCGTTCGTCTCTTTCTATTCTCATTACTATATTTAGATACGCACTTAGAGTGCATCACAAATGTTGGAACAGGTATATACCGTGTGTGAATGACCGAATACGCATGACGAAACGTTGCGTGTTCCACGACTTGACGGCGGTGGAGGGCCGGCACGAGGGAAAGAAGAAGGAAAGAGAAAGTACAATCGGGACAAACGGGCGTGAAGGAGACGGCAGGTTGGACATGGGGACAACGAAGCGAATAGGTAGAGACAGGGACGTAGCGCGACTTCGATTCTCTAGAAAATCAGGTGGCAGAAGAAACGCGCGGAAGGCTGGCTTTTCGCGTTTAAACTGGTACCGGAAGAAAAAGAAGAAAAATAAATTGAGTAATCACTTTTTTAACAGTAGAATGATTTTTCTTTGTATGTACGATCCACTTAATGCCACAAATGTTTTGAAGTGATTTTTTGATCAATTAGTGAAATTCTTTTTCGTGATTGAAGAGAGAGAGAGAGAGAGAGAGAGGGTTTGTTCTACGATCTCTTCGCGTGCGATCATTTACGTTTTATCGGTCTATCTTGTTTACATTAAACGCCCGACACGCACTGGAGTCACTCCAGTGATGTGCGAGTAACAAGTAACGTTTTAACGTTAAAGACGTCATTAAGACATTAATAAGACGTAATTTGATGTCAACTTACTTCTCGAAATACGTTACGCAAGATTTCCAATTCATTTACGAAACTTATCATCTGCGAAAATTCCGATCTGCAGAAGACAGTTTATTGCGATCCTACACGGGAAAAATGACGAATACCTTAAACAGCAGTCAAATTGAAAATAATCTTAATTCAATGATAATATATTAATGAAACAAATAACATTTTATTAAAACAAGAAGTGGCGTTCCATTAATACTGTTATTGAATGAACACGAGATTATTTTCAATTTATAGACTGTTGTTGATTAAATCAATATATTTTACGATATGATACTCGACACATTACCGATTCCAAACTCCATGATAGTGTTTCTCTATTAACTTTGTTTCTTCAGTAATGACTGTCATTAATGAGAGATCGTGAAATCTGATCGATTCGGTAATACGAATACTTATCAAAATACTTTATAGACTACGATCCATTTACAATTAATACTGTAAATGCTTTGAAGCATTTTTTGATTAGTCAGTTAGTAAAATTCTTTCGATTGGTCAATCAAATACTTCGAAGTATTTGTAGCATCAAATAAACTGCACCCTAAAGCCTAGTTCATCCTCGTTGCATCGTGATTGGCTGAAATAGAATCGTCAACCGAGTGCCGCAACTGGCAATCCGTAGTGTGATTGTGGCTTTATGTCTGTTTCCAGCAACGCAGATTAGAAGCTTAATCTCGGTTCAATTTACATGGACTTAATCTTTTTCTAATTCTTAGAACTGGAAAAAGATGAATAGTAAGTTAAACCGAGATTAAAGTTAATCTATATCGGTGGAAACGGACGTTCGTTTATACTCGGAGAAAGATCTGAGGCTTTCTAGTAGCAAATTTACTTTCACAGTTGTCAATCTATCGTTCATTAATCTTTCGATGATGACTTTTTCTAACTGTTCGTTTATACAGTTTATTTGGCTGTCGACTTCTCTCCTCGTTGGCGAGGCGAATAAACGCCGATCTTTGCATTTCCTTTGTGCACTGCGCACTGCGCACTTGTGCTAGAAACAATGCGCTTTCTCACGGTGCGCTGCAGAATTCTTAGCGAGTTTAGCGTTGGCCACGCTGTATATACTACTTCGAGCACGAATGGCATAAGTGCATACACAGCGCATTCTACTTTCGTACGATTTACGTGTCTCAATAAAACAGAGACATTCGCTCTCCCTGCATTTTTAACGCTTGCATTCTCATTCGTCCTCGATGCGCGAATATCGGAGAGAAAATGTTACTCGTTACCGTTTTTTTTCATATCAGTCAGTCTCGTTATTTCTTTCTGAGATCGTTTAACGTTACGTGACCGCAAAAAGTGATGTTAATCATGTTATGATAATATTAACAATATTGTTCTAATTGAAATTAATTTATAAAATTAATTAATTCTAATTAAAAAAGAATTACTGTCATTGAAAGAAATCTTGTTAATTCGATAACTCTATTAATGGAGCAAATATGTCGTACTCTTATTTGAGCAAGATATTATTTGTTTTAATAATACTGTTATTTTGAATTAATTAAAATTACTTTCAATTAAACTAACGCTATTGATACAACTTTAATCTTTTTCGTGTCATTTCGGGATTCGTTCTATCCGTAATATTTAATCAGGAATTCATAAATAAATAAAAAAACACGGAACGTTTGAGAATTTATTTATCCGTGATGTCTACAGTGAAAAAATATTCTAAATCAATCTATTTTAATCAATTATTTGTTTGAATAGAGAGTACTGAACTAAATAAACAGATATATTTATTTGGACAGGAATCGTTAATTTGAAACTTTGAACTATCTTTTTTTATTGCAAGTAAATTTTAGTTGGCACTATTAGAAAAAATATTTATTAAAGTGTAGTACACGTTTTTCTCAATATATAACTATGAACCGATGAAAGACGCAGATAGTCTCAGAATCTATTTCGCGCGAACGTGGCGGTGGAAGAAGAAATTGACGATACCCTTCGATTCTTCCCTCGATCGTACGGCCCTGACTTTACCCGTAGTGGGGGCAGAAGAAGCGGAGGCAGAGGGTGTCGGTCGTCAGGTCGGCGCAGCGGCGAACAGTGGCGAGCGGACTCGTACACCAGTTACGGGTCGAGACGTCGAGACGTCGAGACGTCGGGGCGAGCTGGCGAAAGCGTCGCGAACGCGTTCGTGTGTTGTCGAGAAGTAGCGGAGGGAGCTCGAGATTTGCAAAAAAAAAAACACAAAACAAAACAAAAACGTACAAGAAGCATCTTCACCGGAACATTCTAGATCGTGGAGTCATCTTAGAGAACGTCGTCGTCGTGTTAAAAAAAAAAAAAAAAAAACTTGTAAAGAAACTGGTTTGCACAAAACTCGCAAGTGACAAAAGACTTCTCTGCGATCATGGAAGGTCCTCCCTGTTTGTCGTGGGATGACTAAGCATCAACTAGCATCGTTTCCTGGTGAAGTGCCCAGTTCGTATGTATCCGATAGTGAT